GTCATATATCTCAGTCCGCTTTTATCTTTTTGAAGGGAGAGGAGTGGTAAGTGTGCATCTGTGATTCATTAGAAGAGACCCATCTGCTTTGTGTCACCTGTTCCCTCCCCGCTCTCTTTTTATTTTTTGAAGTGGCGTGCAGAAGAAGGTACCGCTATCGCACTTTGTAGCTTTCATCTCACTTTTTTTTACCATTTGCTTTCTCATTTGTTGTTTTCTCTTCTTTTTTTTTTTTTTTTTTTTGTTGGGGATGCTGCTGGGGTGTTTCTAGTGTTGCTAGGAAGTAGAAAACACACACGAAGAAAAGAAAAAAGGGAGGGCAAATGTTGGATGAGAGGCCCACGAAAACACTCCGGACGGAGTCTGGCGCAAAGAAAGTCAGCAGCAAAGAGTTTTTGAAGACAACTGTGTCGGAGGGTCCTTTCAGCGTACTTGACAGCGCAATGCGAAACGGGACCCGTGTTTTTATTCAATCGCGCTTTAATAAATCCCTTGTCGCCACTGTTGTCGCATTCGACAAGCATTTCAACCTCGTTCTCCGCGATGTGGTTGAGCTGGCAATGGTCAATAAAGAGCAGAAGGAGCGATCCATACGCAACATGTTTCTGCGCGGGGGGTCGGTGGTGTTTATTGTGAAACTGCCTCACAACGCGGCGTAGAGGCATGTGTGTGGGTTCCACACAGACAGCCCCGAGCAATTGCACGGATGCCACTGCATTCTATAAAGAAAAAGGAAAAAGAGTGGAGGATGGGGGAAGGCACACGCATTTCTTTACCGGCTTTCCCTCCCTCCCCTTCCCCTTTGATAGGATTTTGTTATGATATTCGTATTTGCCTTTTTTTTTATTCCTTTTTTTTTTATTTGATTATTTTTTTCCTTTTGATTGACGTGTTTTCTATTTTTTTTTCCTTGTTATATATATATATATATATATATATATATATATGTTTTATCTCCTCCTGTGTGTTTGTCGTTTGTTTGGCAGTGATAGACCCATTCAAGTAGCCACAGTTCAATGCGCATCTTTTTCCAATTTGTGGCGTTGGCGCTGATGCCCGTATGAAATGGGCACTGCCACCGATGCCCGGGATTGTGCCTACACTTCCGATGGCCACAAGGACGAAGGTGTGAGGGACATGACGTTTGTGGGACGCCTTCAATTCAGTCGAGACGCGGTTCTCTCTCTTAAAGAGAGAAAAAAAAAATATACATATATCTATACGTACATAAATGTGAGATAAAGAGGAGCCGCGAACACGTAGGGGAAATGTGGCGGAGGAATTTCATATGTTTGGATTGGTGCATCTTTCATGGTGAATGCCGTCCTGTTTTTGATGTCACCTTTTATTTTTATTTTTTATTTTTGTTGGACGTTTTTTTTTTCTTTCTCTTTCTCTTTCTGCTTCATTTTAACGCCCCAAGAAAACGTTGTTTGGCTTTTACGCCGTGGCAACTTACTTTTCTCATCCCATGATTTTCGTGTGCCAAACGTGTGGCAGTGCAATCACAGGCGCCTGGCGCCACGATTGCGAGACGCAGACGTTCACCTGCCACGGAGAGTTGTGTAAGCGCCGCTACAAACTAAATAATGGATTGCCGCAGAGTTATCAGCAGCAGAAGCAGCAGCAGTGCGTTATGCCAATTGTCGTCATGCCGCCTCAGACACCCCGCGACAGTTCCTACGCGGGGCGATTTGTCGCCGCACAGGGGTTACGAGCTCGTTCTAGACTAATGGGCGACGACAAGGACTTTTATTTACCCCCGCCGCTGTCACGTATGTTTCCAACAATGCAGAAGCAACCGACACACAACCCCAATGAAAAGGCACCGGGAAACAATGAGGAGAGTCCGGCAGTGCAGAAGGAACCGTTGACTTTTATTAAACTGCCTCAAACCCGTGAATCCTTACCTACTTTGAACATGGAAACCTCCAAAGAAGGAAATACCGGGAATATAAGAACAATCCACCGCATCCAGTTTGAAGGTGATGACTGGGATGCTGTGTTGCCATGCCGCAAGAATGAACTCTACATGGCTTTGCAACTGGACATATGCAACTCACTGCCCTTCTCGTCATCGTTTAGCGTTCAAATCATGCGCACGGGGGGCGGTTTTTTTGCCTATATCACCATAACACGCTCAGCTGAGGTCAGCGACGACGAAGTATGTCGGCACCTCAGTGAATATCACTTTCCAGAAACTCGACGGATATACCAATCTGCGCAACTGCAACTTAGTGCACAATTTCTTACTCAGAATTCCGGCGAATACATTCAATGCCCTAATACACCATCGGTTTTTGCTCCTTCAGAAAGTTTGAGGCATGGGCTATGGGGCGGCAAAGCCATCAGGATTAATGGAGAACCCTATCAATGCTCACGAGTTCCACAAACCTCTGTTAAAAATACGACTGCAACGTTAAAAGTGGATGATTCATACCTTCTCGATCCATCTTCGTTACAAAAAAATGAACTCATCATCGATAATAAAAGTAATAAGCGATCCACTGAAGTGGAAAAAGAAGAATTGGCAGGAATAGCAAACAACAGTCAAAAAACATCATGCAATTCAGAAAAAGAAGAGGAGAGTCGCCAAAATGATTTAGCAAAGTTGATACCAGCCGAAAAAAATTACTATTCAAGCATTAACAACCTCTCGACAGGAGAAAAAATAAACAACACTTCAGTTCTCATGTACCCAGAAATTGAGGGGGGCCGCAGCATGGAGTCGTTGCCCCAGAGTGTTACTGTGGTTCCTCGTGGTGAACGTCCCATGAGCAGTAAGTCGTTTGGTGTCTCCTTGGTGCACGAGAACGAGATGGAGGGAGGCCGCAGCATGGAGTCGTTGCCCCAGAGTGTTACTGTGGTTCCTCGTGGTGAACGTCCCATGAGCAGGAAGTCGTTTGGTGTCTCCTTGGTGCACGAGACCGAGATGGAGGGAGGTCGCAGCATGGAGTCGTTGCCCCAGAGTGTTACTGTGGTTCCTCGTGGTGAACGTCCCATGAGCAGTAAGTCGTTTGGTGTCTCCTTGGTGCACGAGAACGAGATGGAGGGAGGCCGCAGCATGGACTCGTTGCCCCAGAGTGTTACTGTGGTTCCTCGTGGTGAACGTCCCATGAGCAGTAAGTCGTTTGGTGTCTCCTTGGTGCACGAGAACGAGATGGAGGGAGGCCGCAGCATGGAGTCGTTGCCCCAGAGTGTTACTGTGGTTCCTCGTGGTGAACGTCCCATGAGCAGTAAGTCGTTTGGTGTCTCCTTGGTGCACGAGAACGAGATGGAGGGAGGTCGCAGCATGGACTCGTTGCCCCAGAGTGTTACTGTGGTTCCTCGTGGTGAACGTCCCATGAGCAGTAAGTCGTTTGGTGTCTCCTTGGTGCACGAGAACGAGATGGATGATTGGTGTTTGCCTCCGCGTGGGCAGAAGTGGCGCAGTTTGTTAGATAAGGATGTTTCTCTGCGAATGGTTGAGATGAATGGGTGGTGTTTGCCTCCTCGTCGATTTTTTGTCTTGGAGGATCGTGATTCTAATCATGTTTGTTTGTCCGAGGAGGTTTTTGTGTGTGATAATGGTTTATCTAGCTTGAGTAAGCCTTCTGTGATGCCTTGTGGTGATTCAATGGCGCCATGTGCGGTGTCTGTTGGCAAATCGGAGGTTTTTGAGTCTTCGATGACGATGGACCGGGTTTCTTTTGAGGGTGGAGGGGATGCACGTTCTCCTGTTTTTCATGGTATGCATTGTGAGGCGGCGACTTCTCCGTTGTTTTCTGGTGCTTGTAACCCTGAGGAGCGGTGGCTAGATGTACTGCCAGCGAGATCGATCGACAAAAACCCTTGGAAGTTTTCACAATATACGGCGCGAGGCAGGTCGAATGTGTCTGCGCAGAAAATTCTTCCGGTAGCGGAGGCCGTTGGTTTGCTGAAGGGATCGTCAAATGTGTTGTTGGAAGAATCGGAGGAGGCGCTGATGCTAAGTGTAGGGGAGACGGATGGACATTTACTGTCGGATGGCGACGTGTCATCGAGACATTTGGAGCTTACGGAAACAAAGGATGTGGCGCCTGCACAGGGGGGCAATGGGCTTCTTGGAGCATTGAAGGATCAACATGTGACAGTGGAGGGGAATAAATTAGAGGGACGGACTCTGCCCACCGGGGCTGAGAACTATGAAGTGGCGCCATTAAAAAAGAATGTTGTTCCGTGGGATACGCAGGAGAGCTCTTGTGCCTTCGAGGTGTATGAACTGAGTGCTTCCAACTCTTCGGAGTCTTCATGTGTTGAAATTTGGTTGGAAAGAGAGGGTCCGAGGGCGTTTTCGAGGTTGTTGCAACATCTTGAAGAGGCAGAGAGAGTGATTCGTAAACCAGTAGAATTGCTAAGAAGGTTGAGGGATAATGAGGATGGTGGCTATTGTTATCAGGCTTAGGAGTATACGTTAGCTTTCCTCTTGCGGAGAGGCAAATTTCTTTTTTTTGCTTGCCCTTTCTTTTTTTTTTTTTTGTGTGTGTGTGTGTCTTGGTGCATATTCTGGAGCGGTGGAATTTAAGCAAACAAAATTTTTTTTTTTTTGGTGCATTATTTTGCGTATGTGTGGCAACTGGAAGAAAATTTAAGTTTTTTTTTTTATTGTCTTGCATTGGCGCCATTAGGAGTTGCTGGAGGCGTTGAGGAAAAAATAAATAAATATATATTTTCTTCTTTTTTTTCCTTTAGTTTATACGTACTGATTTTCTTTTTTTTTTTTATTATTATTTGTGCGTGCGGAGGAGGAGGAGGAGGAGACGATTGTGAGGGGCGGAAGAGGACTCTTCTTGACACAAATGTGCAAAAACAGCGATGATGTATACACGCGTAGTTTTTTTTTTTTCCTTTTTTTTCTTTTGGTTAAATTTTGTCCGCTTTTTTGTTGTTGTTGATTTTTTATTCGTGTGGTAGGGAGTCATTGAGATGTGGTTTTGGTACCGCGTCACCTCCCCCGTTGTGTGTGATTTTTGCTTCTTGCCCGCAATGCTTCCTTCATTACGTTTGCTTCTTTTTTTTTTTTTTTTTACAGTTTCACTTTGCACCTTTTTCCCCCTGCACTTCAGTTGTGTGGGGGGCAAAAACTTGTTTTATTTATCATATATTGCGCGTATGTGGAGACCCACACGATGGCTAAGTTTGCGTCTCACACCGGATCCTTCGTTAGTTGTCCTTCCAGCTGGCGTGAGGCGCGTTGAAGTGTACCGCAACGCAGTGAGCAGCCGGGAGGAGAGTATTATCTGGGACGAGCTCAGCCTTGTGCTTGAGCGGGAGGGGCAGAAGGCGCTGTCGGAGCGCTCGACCCCGCAGAGCAAGATCGTGAAACATACATATCTTGAGATGCACGGGGATCAACGGTTTACGGAAGTAAAGAGCTGGCAAAGAAAGGAATTGCGGCGGCTTCCGGGGCTTGTTTGGTCGCCAACCCTAATGGCGTGCATGCGGGATGTTGCTCCGGCTCTGCTGGGCTCTGTGCCGGACACCGCGCGAGTGGTTGAGCACAATATGCCTGGTTATGAGATGCACATTGAACATCCCACAGTGGGTTGCTGCTTCCTTTACCTCTCTCTTTTGTCGGACACAGTGCTGTCGTTTGATGATGAGCCGACGGGGCGCCGTGGGCAGGTCTTTTTGCCACAGCGATCATTGATGCGCTGCTCTGGTGAGGCCAGGTGGGGGTGGCGATTTGGCGAACAACCCAACGACACGCACACATTTATTAGCGACGCTGGTGTTCGGCGTGTGGTGGAGACAGACATGCGACTTAGCGTGCAGTTGTGGAGGTTCACGCCACAGTTGCTGGATGCGAGGGTTCTTCAGGACCGTGTGGAGGCGTCAATCCGTCGCCTTGAAGAGAGAGAGAAGAATGGATCTGACGTGAGGCATACGGAGGAGCCGTGTGAGTCTCCCAAAAGTGATTTTTCTGCGGCATCTGTTGGGCAAAACACGGGTGGGGGCCCTCTTGGCGGGGATTACGCGGCAAACACGTCTCCCCATCCGGGAGGCGGCACGAAGATTACAATGGGTACGATTGAAAAAGACTACGACAAGTACAAGCAGAAATTTCAGAATGTTCATGGGGTATTACAAGAGATGAAGGCGTTGCAGGACGCTGGGCAGCCCATCAATGACATGTGGTTGAAACGAAAGATTTTGGATGGCCAGGGAAACGCCGAGCAGGACACAAGTGATGGCTTTGATGCGGAGGATGTGGAAGGTACATGGGATCGAGTGGATGCACGAGCACGCTTTTACAAGGCACGGCTGAAGAGCATGGACTACGACGGTAGTGCAAGCCTTAACAATACGATGCCAGACATAACGGAGGATGCACCGCTTGATATGAAGAAAACGATACGAAAGATTGCACCGCTCGTGAAGGATGGAGAAAAGATTGTCGCAAGTTTTCCTGGTTTACAGTGAGTAGTGAGTAAGAGATTGAGAAGGACAGGGACAAGGAATGAAGGAAGGAAAGAAGGAAGATAAGAGGAGTATCATGTTATATATGTATATAGCCTTAATTTGGCGTTTGCCGTTGGCAAGATTGGGTGTGTGATGTAAAGACTCTGTTCTGCGCCGTACTTTTTTTAATTTATTTATTTTTAGACCGTGCTTTTTGTGGATGAGAAGGCGGACTGACCGGCGGAGGTTTGGCGCTGTGGCGACTTTTGTCCCCCTTCTGGTGTTTGTGGTGGTGGCTCTATCGGTTTGCCAGGATGCCCTGCGGAGTGTGAAGCATTCATTCAGTGAGGTGGATTTTGAGGGGGAGCAGCAGCTGCGGCAGGAGACGAGGAAGGAAGAGCGGTCTCCGTTAGGGGCCACTTTTACTTCAAAGGTCCAGAGTATATTAAATGGTAGTCGTCTGGTAGGAGACGGGCTGGACGTGCATATGTTTGTTCTCTGGCAGCATGCGTACCCCCAGTGGCGGGCGATCTTACAAGACATTTGTAAGAGTTTTGTCGTACTTGAGCTGGCGGAGTTTGACTGGGGCGATACACGGATGGGGCTTCAGAGGTTCTTGTCTAACCTCTGGGTACTGTATAATGGCAAAGGCGGCTGGGAGAGGGAGGGAATGGCGAAGAAGGTACAACAATGCGGATATGGAAGATTTATTGCTATTGCTGTTGCGGATATGAATCCTCAGTACGCGAGGAAACACACGGCTCATGGCGTTGATATTGTCAATGTGATGGCGCATAAAAAGAAAGTGCTCTACAGAAAGTGGTCGGGAGGCGGATTTAAGGTGCATGGAACATTTTCCACACATGAGGCCAACCATGACATTCGCGTCCTGCTCCACACCACCATTGAGGGCCTCCTATTGCGCGCGATGGAGACCCAGGCCTACGCCAGAGACATCGTGTCGGCGTACTTGGACGATCCTGCTCCCTTCTATACGACGCGGGAGGTGTATGGGGCTACAAACCTGGACAATAATGGTAGCAATGGTAAAGCGGATGACAACGCTACACGCTACCACCAGCAAGGCTGGCACTGTGATGCATTTTTTTTCGCATTGGGGTCCTTGATGCAAGTGGCGGTAGTGGACGGAAGAACAGGAGTCCTGCTTTGGTCGCAACGCAGCTCCCTTCCTGGGACGCCGTTAGCGGTACATGTAGTGACAAAAACTGAGTGTGCCGCGTGGCCCGATAAGTTAGAGCTTCGCATTCTCTTGTCGGAAATGTGGGGCGCTGTGGCGCTTCTGCGTGCGTCACCGGTCAATGCAGTGGGGGTGACGTTGAGCAGTGAGTTCACAGTCGAACTGGAGGGATCTACTCGAGTGTTACTTCTAACGCCCTTTAAATGATTTTGCTGTCTCCCTTCTGGGAATTGTGGCGCCTTCCTGAATTTGTACGTGTATGTGTATTTAATTTGTTGCCGAAACCGCTTTTATTGTTATTATTAATTTTGCTGCTGCTGGTAATTATGCTTGTGGGACGCAATAGCTTTGGCGATGGCGCTTTTATTTGGGTACATGTATGTTTTTTCTGCCGATTTTTTTTTTTTTTTTGGCAGTTGTAATCGAAATAAGTTGCCACGTTTTTGCAGGATGAGCTGGTGCACGGCGGGGGAGGTGGTGGAATTGATTAGTGTCAGCAGGCTGCGTCATGACGTTCCAGAGGTTGAACGTAAAGCGGCAGATTTGCGTTTAATTGAACTTTACACATCGGCAGTGAATATTGGGGACGTTTTGACGGAAGTAGTAGTTGCGTCCAATGCAGTTTCTTGGAATTTGCGGCTGGCGGCTGCCTTGACGCTGGAGTCTTTTGTGAGCGAGCGGACATGGTGCGAGGGCGCGAGCTTCAGCGACAAGGAACGTGTTCTTAATGAGATTTTGGCGTATTTGCGGAGCGCCTCTTTTGCTGCGTCAGCTGCGGAGGAGCAACTGCATGTCTTGCTGTGCTCCTGCCTCGGCCGTATTGCCGGTCTTGAATATCCCGCTGCGCGTTGGGATGAATTCATGGACGAGTGCGTTTCAGCCATTGTGTCAGGGGATGCGGCACGGCAACAGACGGGGCGTGTGTTGGTGCAACAGACAATTA